GGACACACAGAGAGAGAGAGAGAGAAGAACCTCATGAGATGGGGTCCTCAACGCCCCACACCCCGGTTCCACCCCACGGAGTCGCCTCGAACCCCAGGGTTCTTCCTTGGAGACCACCATGGCCTGTGGGGGTCAAGGCATGGAGACCATCATGGTCTATGGGGCCAGGACATGGAGACCATCATGGCCTGTGGGGTCAAGGCATGGAGACCATCATGGCCTATGGGGCCAGGACATGGAGACCACCACACCCTATGGGGTGAGGCTATGGAGGCCACCATGGCCTATGGGGTCAAGGCATGGAGACCATCATGGCCTATGGGGCCAGGACATGGAGACCACCACACCCTATGGGGTGAGGCTATGGAGGCCACCATGGCCTATGGGGTCAAGGCATGGAGACCATCATGGCCTATGGGGCCAGGACATGGAGACCACCACACCCTATGGGGTGAGGCTATGGAGGCCACCATGGCCTATGGGGTCAAGGCATGGAGACCATCATGGCCTATGGGGCCAGGACATGGAGACCACCACACCCTATGGGGTGAGGCTATGGAGGCCACCATGGCCTATGGGGTCAAGGCATGGAGACCATCATGGCCTATGGGGCCAGGACATGGAGACCACCACACCCTATGGGGTGAGGCTATGGAGGCCACCATGGCCTATGGGGTCAAGGCATGGAGACCATCATGGCCTATGGGGTGAGGGTATGGAGGCCACCATGGCCTATGGGGCGAGGGCATGGAGACCATCATGGCCTGTGGGGTCAAGGCATGGAGACCATCATGGCCTATGGGGCCAGGACATGGAGACCACCACACGCTATGGGGTGAGGGTATGGAGGCCACCACACTCTATGGGGTGAGGTTATGGAGGCCACCATGGCCTATGGGGTGAGGGTATGGAGGCCACCACACGCTATGGGGTGAGGCTATGGAGGCCACCATGGCCTATGGGGCCAGGACATGGAGACCATCATGGCCTATGGGTCAGGGCATGGAGACCACCATGGCCTATGGATCAGGGCATGGAGACCATCATGGTCTATGGGTCAAGACATGGAGACCATCATGGCCTGTGGGTGAGGGCATGGAGACCACCATGATCCATAGGGTCAGGACCACCACGTCTTATGGGGCCAGGACATGGAGACCTTTGTGCCCCATAGGGTGGTGGAGCTGAGGCCCAGGAGGTCCCTATAGCACCCAACATCCCTATGGACCCCCCTATAGCACCCAATGTCCCTATGGAACCCAGGAGGTCCCTATAGCACCCAACGCCCCTATGGAACCCAGGGGGTCTCTATAGCACCCAATGTCCCTATGGACCCCCCTATAGCACCCAACGTCCCTATGGAACCCAGGAGGTCCCTATAGCACCCAACGTCCCTATGGACCCCCCTATAGCACCCAATGTCCCTATGGAACCCAGGAGGTCCCTATAGCACCCAACGCCCCTATGGAACCCAGGGGGTCTCTATAGCACCCAATGTCCCTATGGACCCCCCTATAGCACCCAACGTCCCTATGGAACCCAGGAGGTCCCTATAGCACCCAACGTCCCTATGGACCCCCCTATAGCACCCAACGTCCCTATGGAACCCTCCTACCCTATGGACCCCCTTGTAGCACCCAACGTCCCTATGGAACCCCCCTATAACACCCAACATCCCTATGGAACCCACCTACCCTATGGACCCCTCCTATAGCACCCAACATCCCTATGGACTCCTGGGGTGAGGACATGGAGACCATCATGGCCTATGGGTCAGGGCATGGAGACCACCACACGCTATGGGGTGAGGGTATGGAGGCCACCATGGCCTATGGGTCAGGACATGGAGGCCACCATGGCCTATGGGGTCAAGACATGGAGACCATCATGGTCTATGGGGCCAGGACATGGAGACCATCATGGTCTATGGGGTGAGGCTATGGAGGCCACCATGGCCTATGGGGTCAAGACATGGAGACCATCATGGTCTATGGGGTGAGGACATGGAGACCATCATGGTCTATGGGTCAGGGCATGGAGACCACCACACGCTATGGGGTGAGGGTATGGAGCCCATCATGGCCTATGGGGCTAGGACATGGAGACCATCATGGCCTATGGGGCCAGGACATGGAGACCATCATGTCCTATGGGTCAGGGCATGGAGACCATCATGGTCTATGGGTCAAGACATGGAAACCATCATGGCCTGTGGGTGAGGGCATGGAGACCACCACGATCCATAGGGTCAGGACCACCATGTCCTATGGGGCCAGGACATGGAGACCTTTGTGCCCCATAGGGTGGTGGAGCTGAGGCCCAGGAGGTCCCTATAGCACCCAACGTCCCTATGGAACCCACCTACCCTATGGAACCCCCCTATAGCACCCAACGTCCTTATGGAACCCAGGAGGTCCCTATAGCACCCAACGTCCTTATGGAACCCACCTACCCTATGGACCCCCCCTATAGCACCCGACATCCCTATGGACTCCTCTATAGCACCCAACGTCCCTATGGAACCCACCAACCCTATGGAACCCCCCTATAGCACCCAACGTCCCTATGGAATCCAGGAGGTCCCTATAGCACCCAACGTCCCTATGGACCCCCCTATAGCACCCAATGTCCTTATGGAACCCACCTACCCTATGGACCCCTCCTATAGCACCCAACATCCCTATGGACTCCTCTATAGCACCCAACGTCCCTATGGAACCCACCAACCCTATGCCCACCCCAGACCCACCTGGCAGGAGTCGGTGCCCCCCGAGGTGACGCCGGCGCAGAGCATGTTCTTGGTGATGCCTTTGGGGTAGAGCTTGGAGCACTGGTCGTTGGCCATGGTGTAGACCACGCCGCACTGGAGAACGTCGGGGAAGTAGCCTGGGGACAGGACAGGGGACACCGTCACCCACCTCGGGCCCCACCCAGGGTGGGGGGGAAGGTCCCAGGGGTCCCCGGAAGGAGTGGGACCTTCTCCCTCCAAAGGTGGAGGTGGGTGGTGACAGCCCACCATGGAAGACGCCCTCGAGATGAAGGATGAAGGGCCACCTTGGAGGTGATTTGGAGTCTCCTTGTGGTCATGGGGTGGAGCTGGGGGAGAATGGGGACCTCCAGAGCCACCCCATGGACCCGGGGGAGGTGTCCTCAAGTTGCTGAGATGTCCCCAAGAATCTTAGATGTCCCCAAGACACTGAGATGTCCCCAAGTTCCTGAGGTGTCCCCAAGTCCCTGAGGTGTCCCCAGGTTACTGAGGTGTCCCCAAGTTGCTGAGATGTCCCCAAGACACTGAGATGTCCCCAAGATCCTGAAATGTCCCCAAGTTCCTGAGATGTCCCCAAGTTCCTGAGGTGTCCCCAAGTTGCTGAGATGTCCCCAAGACACTGAGATGTCCCCAAGAACCTGAGATGTCCCCAAGTTCCTGAGATGTCCCCAAACACTGAGGTGTCCCCAAACACTGAGATGTTCCAGGGTTGTTGAGGTGTCCCCAAGTTGCTGAGATGTCACCAGGTTCCTGAGATGTCCCCAAGAACCTGAGATGTCCCCAAGTTCCTGAAATGTCCCCAAGAACCTGAGATGTCACCAGGTTCCTGAGATGTCCCCAAGAACCTGAGATGTCCCCAAGTTCCTGAAATGTCCCCAAGAACCTGAGATGTCCCCAAGTTCCTGAGGTGTCCCCAAGTTGCTGAGATGTCCCCAAGACACTGAGATGTCCCCAAGATCCTGAAATGTCCCCAAGAACCTGAGATGTCCCCAAGTTGCTGAGATGTCTCCAAGACACTGAGATGTCCCCAAGATCCTGAAATGTCCCCAAGAACCTGAGGTGTCCCCAAGAACCTGAGATGTCCCCAAGTTCCTGAGGTGTCCCCAAGTTGCTGAGATGTCCCCAAGACACTGAGATGTCCCCAAGATCCTGAAATGTCCCCAAGAACCTGAGATGTCCCCAAGAACCTGAGGTGTCCCCAAGACACTGAGATGTCCCCAAGTTCCCGAGATGTCCCCAAGTTCCTGAGGTGTCCCCAGGTTACTGAGGTGTCCCCAAGTTGCTGAGATGTCCCCAAGACACTGAGATGTCCCCAAGATCCTGAAATGTCCCCAAGAACCTGAGATGTCCCCAAGTTCCTGAGATGTCCTCAAGTTGCTGAGATGTTCCCAAACACTGAGATGTCCCAGGGTTCCTGAGGTGTCCCCAAGTTGCTGAGATGTCCCCAAGACACTGAGATGCCCTCAAGATCCTGAAATGTCCCCAAACACTGAGATGTCCCCAGGTTACTGAGGTGTCCCCAAGACACTGAGATGTCCCCAAGTTCCTGAGATGTCCCCAAGATCCTGAAATGTCCCCAAGAACCTGAGATGTCCCCAAACACTGAGGTGTCCCCAAGTTCCTGAGGTGTCCCCAAGTTCCTGAGATGTCCCCAGATCCCTCCAGGACAACCCCCCGCGTGCCACCAGGAGATGTCTCCACCTACCTTCAGGGCTGCTGGTGCTGCCCCAACCCGACACGATGCACTCGGTGTTGGGTGAAGGACATCTCCTGGGCAGGGCCACCGGCCGGACGTGGTCGGTGAAACGGACGGGTTTCTGGAGCTTGAGGAGCATGATGTCACTGTCATGGCTGCTGACGTCATAGTTGGGGTGGATGAAGGCCTTGGCCGAGTTGATGCACTGCTCCGTCCCCTCCTTGGTCTTCAAGCTGTGGTCGCCCATGCGGATGGGGATGGGCCTGGAGAAAAGACCACGGTGAGGTGCCCCGGTGGAGGTGGCAGGGAAGGTCCACGGGGTGGAGAAAGGACCATGTGGTGGAGGAAGACCATGAGGTGGAGGAAGGACGATGGGTTGGAGAAAGGACCACGGTGAGGTTCCCTGGTGGAGGTGGCAGGGAAGGTCCATGGGGTGGAGAAAGGACCACGTGGTGGAGAAAGACCACGGGGTGGAGAAAGGACCATGGTGAGGTTCCCTGGTGGAGGTGGCAGGGAAGGTCCACGTAATGGAGAAAAGACCATGGGGTGGAGAAAGACCACAGGGTGGAGAAAGGACCACGTGGTGGAGGAAGACCATGGGGTGGAGAAAGGACCATGGAGTGGAGAAAGGACCATGGTGAGGTTCCCTGGTGGAGGTGGCAGGGAAGGTCCACGTAATGGAGAAAAGACCATGGGGTGGAGAAAGACCACAGGGTGGAGAAAGGACCATGTGGTGGAGAAAGGATCATGGGGTGGAAAAAGGACCATGTGGTAGAGGAAGAACCACAGGGTGGAGAAAGAACCACGTGGTGGAGGAAGACCATGAGGTGGAGGAAGGATGATGGGTTGGAGAAAGGACCATGGTGAGGTTCCCTGGTGGAGGTGGCAGGGAAGGTCCATGGGGTGGAGAAAGGACCACGTGGTGGAGAAAGACCACGGGGTGGAGAAAGGACCATGGTGAGGTTCCCTGGTGGAGGTGGCAGGGAAGGTCCACGTAATGGAGAAAAGACCATGGGGTGGAGAAAGACCACAGGGGGGAGAAAGGACCACGTGGTGGAGGAAGACCATGGGGGGGAGAAAGGACCATGGAGGGGAGAAAGGACCATGGTGAGGTTCCCTGGTGGAGGTGGCAGGGAAGGTCCACGTGATGGAGAAAGGACCATGTGGTGGAGGAAGAGCATGTGGTGGAGAAAGGACAATGGGGTGGAGGAAGACCATGAGGTGGAGAAAGGACCATGAGGTGGAGAAAGGCCCATGGGGTAGAGGAAGAACCACGTAATGGAGAAAAGACCATGGGGTGGAGAAAGACCACAGGGTGGAGAAAGGACCACGTGGTGGAGGAAGACCATGGGGTGGAGAAAGGACCATGTGGAGGAGAAAGGTCCAGTGGTGGAGGAAGGACAATGGGGTGGAGAAAGGACCAGTGGTGGAGGAAGGACAATGGGGTGGAGAAAGGACCACATGATGGAGAAAGGACCATGTGGTGGAGGAAAGACCATAAGGTGGAGGAAGGACGATGGGTTGGAGGAAAGACAATGGGGTGGAGAAAGGACCACATGATGGAGAAAGGACCATGTGGTGGAGGAAGGACCATGAGGTGGAGAAAGGACCATGTGGTAGAGGAAGAACCACAGGGTGGAGAAAGAACCACGTGGTGGAGGAAGACCATGAGGTGGAGGAAGGATGATGGGTTGGAGAAAGGACCATGGTGAGGTTCCCTGGTGGAGGTGGCAGGGAAGGTCCACGTGATGGAGAAAGGACCATGTGGTGGAGAAAGACCATGGGGTGGAGAAAGGACCATGTGGAGGAGAAAGGACCACGTGGTGGAGGAAGACCATGAGGTGGAGGAAGGACGATGGGTTGGAGAAAGGACCATGGTGAGGTTCCCTGGTGGAAGTGGCAGGGAAGGTCCATGGGGTGGAGAAAGGACCATGTGGTGGGAGGAAGGATCATGGGGTGGAAGAAGGACCATGGGGTGGAGAAAGGATGGTTGAGGTGGTCAACCCCATGAGATGGTCATACTGGGAGCCCACCTAGATGGTTGAGGTGGCCAACCCCATGAGATGGTCATACTAAGAAGCCAACAGGATGGTCATGCTGGGCCACCCAAGTGGCCACCCAGTCCTAACTGGGAAGAACTGGGGTCCCAGAAGGCCGTGGGTCATACTGGGAGCCCACCTAGATCCTTGAGGTGGCCAACCCCATGAGATGGTCATACTGGGAGCCCACCTAGATGGTTGAGGTGGCCAACCCCATGAGATGGTCATACTAAGAAGCCAACAGGATGGTCATGCTGGGCCACCCAAGTGGCCACCCAGTCCTAACTGGGAAGAACTGGGGTCCCAGAAGGCCGTGGGGCGGGAGAAGAGACCACCCCACCGGTACTGTTGAGGTTCTCCAGCCACCCAGAGAAGGTCCATGGGGTGGAGCAAGGACCACATGGTGGAGAAAGGATGGTTGAGGTGGTCAACCCCATGAGATGGTCATACTGGGAGCCCACCTAGATGGTTGTGGTGGCCAACCCCATGAGATGGTCATACTGGGAGCCCACCTAGATGGTTGTGGTGGCCAACCCCATGGGATGGTCATACTGGGAGCCCACCTGGATGGTTGTGGTGGCCAACCCCATGAGATGATCATACTGGGAAGCCAACAGGATGGTCATGCTGGGCCACCCAAGTGGCCACCCAGTCCTAACTGGGAAGAACTGGGGTCCCAGAAGGCCGTGGGGCGGGAGAAGAGACCACCCCACCGGTACCGTTGAGGTTCTCCACCCACCTTGAGCTGAACCCCAACCAGGTTCTCCTACGCATGGGGCCACCTCCAGCTCCCGGTGGCTCCTCCCAGTAGCCCGTGGCCAAAAGTGGGGTGGTCCCCACCCCACCCCACCCCATTGGGGGGGTGACCCCACCCCACCCCACCTCTTGGTGTCACAGTGGGCGGCCGTCAGCACCCAGGACCTGTCGATGAGGACCCCACCACAGTGGATGTTCTTCTGGGGGCCCAGGAGGACCACCTGGTAGGGGTGACGCTTCTTCTGGCAGCTCCGACCCCCCACGATCCGGTTCTCGTCCCCCACGGCCGCTGGGGGGAGACGTGGAGATGGGGGTCAGCACCCCAGTTCCTTCCCAGTTTCCCCCAGTTCCTTCCCAGTTCCCTCCCAGTTCCTTCCCAGTGCCCTCCTAGAGGTCTTCTGGGCCACCCACCACCTCCCCGTGTCACCCCCGTGTCCACCCAGCTCTCCCTCTCCCTCCCAGTGTCCCCAGTGACCTACCAGTGTCTCCCAGTTCCTTCCCAGTTCCCTCCCAGTGCCTCCCAGTTCCCTCCCAGTTCCCTCCCAGTTCCTTCCCAGTGCCCTCCTAGAGGTCTTCTGGGCCACCCAGAACCTCCACGTGTCAACCCCGTGTCCACCCAGCTCTCCCTCTCCCTCCCAGTGTCCCCAGTGACCTACCAGTATCTCCCAGTGCCCTCCCACTGCTCTCCCAGTGCCTCCCAGTTCGCTCCCAGTTCCTTCCCAGTTCCTTCCCAGTTCCCTCACAGGAGGTCTTCTGGGCCACCCAGAACCTCCCCGTGTCACCCCCGTGTCCTCCCAGCTCTCCCTCTCCCTCCCAGTGTCCCCAGTGACCAACCAGTGTCTCCCAGTTCCCTCCCAGTTCCCTCCCAGTGCTTCCCAGTTCCTTCCCAGTTCCTTCCCAGTTCATTCCAGTGCCCTCCCAGTTCCTTCCCAGTGCCCTCCTAGAGGTCTTCTGGGCCACCCACCACCTCCCCGTGTCACCCCCGTGTCCACCCAGCTCTCCCTCTCCCTCCCAGTGTCCCCAGTGACCTACCAGTGTCTCCCAGTTCCTTCCCAGTTCCCTCCCAGTCCCTCCCAGTGCCCTCCCAGTGCCTCCCAGTTCTTTCCCAACACCGCCTCCTTCCCCCTCCGTGGCCCCCAGTTCCTCCCTGCGTCACAACATGGCCGCCTGCCAAGTTTTCCCAGTAGGCCCCAGTTCCCTCCCAGTAGGCCCCAGTTCCCTCCCAGTTCCTTCCCAGCACACCCTCAGCCCCTCCAGTTCCCTCCCAGTGCCCCCAGTTCCCTCCCAGTGCCCTCCCAGCACACCCTCAGCCCCTTCCAGTTCCCCCAGTTCCCTCCAGTTCCCTCCCAGTTCCCCCCCAGTGCCTTCCAGTTCCTTCCCAGTAACCCTCAGCCCCTTCCAGTTCCCCCAGTTCCCTCCAGTTCCCTCCCAGTGCCCCCAGTTCCCTCCCAGTGCCCTCCCAGTGCCTCCCAGTTCTTTCCCAACACCGCCTCCTTCCCCCTCCGTGGCCCCCAGTTCCTCCCTGCGTCACAACATGGCCGCCTGCCAAGTTTTCCCAGTAGGCCCCAGTTCCCTCCCAGTGCCCCCAGTTCCCTCCCAGTGCCTTCCCAGTTCCCTCCCAGTGCCCCCAGTTCCCTCCCAGTGCCTTCCCAGTGCCTCCCAGTGCCCCCAGTTCACCCCCCCAGCTCCCTCCCAGTACCAGTTCCTGCCTCCCAGTGCTTCCTCTCTCCCTCCCACTCACACCAGTACGCTCCCAGTGCCTCCCAGTGTCCCCAGTTCACCTACGGCTCCTTCCCAGTACTCCCCAGTGCCCTCCCAGTGCCTCCTGGGGCCTCCCAGTGTCCTCCCAGCTCTCTCCCAGTGCCCCCAGTGCCCTCCCAGTACCTTCCACTCTCTCTACCCCCCCTGACCAGTACACCTCAGCTCTCTCCCAGTATCCCCCCAGTGTCCTCCCAGTTCCCTTCCAGTGCTCCCCAGTTCCCCCCAGCCTCCTTCCAGTCCCCTCCAGTGCCTCCCAGTGCCTCCCAGTGCCCTCCCAGTGCCTCCCAGTGCCCTCCCAGTGCCTTCCAGTGCCCCCCCAGCATCCTTCCAGTGCCCTCCAGTGCTGTCCCAGCGCTCTCCCAGTGCCCCCAGTGTCCTCCCAGTGCCCTCCCAGTGCTCCCCCAGCATCCTTCCAGTGCCCTCCAGTGCTGTCCCAGCTCCCTCCCAGTGCCCCCAGTGTCCTCCCAGTGCCCTCCCAGTGCC